GTTGTTGTGTTTGGCGGTATGATGAAATCAGATGATCATGTCCCAACAGGTTTATTTTGTTAATGAATCTCAGAACAATTATGCATAATTAATTGTAACAAAACATTGATTTTTTTTTTCATCGCTGTTGTGCTTTTTTTTAATGTAAGCTCCTCATGTTTTGCAAAGAAACTGTATGTAACTGTTGGCATGATGACATTGTATATAACTTGGATTATTTCTTTATCTTGTCAAGATCCATGTCATGATTGTAAATTGTTTAAGCTGTACATTACTTTGTTTGTTTTTTGTAGTCAACGTTGTGGTGCTTTTATTTTGAAAGTCAAGTTCGCTTACAAGTTGCACTAGTTTCCTCTTTGGGTAGAACGAAGAAAAACACCTGTAAGCGCGCAGAAAGGACGGTTTTTATTGAAAGACATGTTAAGTGGACTTCAACTACACACGGTTAAACGGTTAAAGGAAACCTCAGAAGAACGGCGGCTAATTCCCTTTTTGCAGCATGCAGCCAACGAGGTATTTATTTATTTATCATGTTTGTTGTACAGTGTTTTTACTGCTGTGTCTTACGCTGAGTTTTATTTTGTTAATGCTGTATAGTTTTCACGGTGGCTTTGGAGAGAAGTCTTCAAATAAACCAATGACAGGAAACCACTTGCGTCTGCCTGTGCTTCGAGGGAATTATACTGTACGTGATGGAGGGACATGGAGATCATTTTTGGATTCAGCACCTTAAAAAAACATAACATTTAACAAAAATATCTCATGCAGCTGAAATTTTTTTCAGACCTGTGTTATTTTGCATCTGAACGAGGTCGCTCACCTTGAACGCAGTCGTCTCTGATTTTTGTCAGAGTCTCCTCTTCATTGAAGTCACTCTTCTTTCTTTTCTCAGCTCGTATATCGTCATCAGTCTTTGAGCGAACAAAGTAGAACTTCTTCTCCATCCTCTGAATCTCCTGAGCTAGTTTCACATCATTCTCTTTGAACTGAGCAGCCGCGATGATGATGAAGAAGTCAAACTTCTCAAATGCAACACGTTCCAGGTACTTGTCAGATGGAAAATTTGGGGTACCAACTCCAGGAAGATCCCATAAAATAACATTGGGATAGTTTGGATGGGGGTATGGTGTGACCTCTATGGTGGTTTCTTTAACACCAGTCGGAGCAGCTCCCACATCATCAACACTCACACCTCTGAAGGCATTAACAAAGGTGGATTTACCAGAACCAGATTCCCCTGTGATGGCGATATTCAGTGTGATGTTGTCCATCCCCAGTGGCTCTTTGACCATTCCAACAGCTGCTGGTTTGTCATGGAGTTGTAGAGCTTTAATTTCTTTTGTAACTGATTTACAGTCAGTTTGAACAGCCATCCTGATCCTCGATAACTGCAGTAAGAGAGATGTTGAAAGTTATTACACAACTGGAAAAATAATAATACCTATTTTTTTTTCAGTTAACATACAAAGCTGTATGATGTCAAGACCATTTCAGTGTATTGAAATGGTCTTAATACATTTCAAGGCACTGAAAATTTAAAGTTCTTAAAAATTCCTTGCAGGTCTACTGCCATAATATCCGAGGAGTAGAGCTGGGCGATAGAACGATAACGATATGTATTGCGAAATAACTTTTTCTTGATAGAAAAATGAAACTATTGCGATAGACCTCATCTCTCTCTCTTAAAAAAAAAAAA